TAGGAAGAAAAACAACACTAGTGACCTAACTAATCTATCAATTTGGCAAATACGGTATTTACAGTAAATTTTAAAATAGGATCATATATTTTTGCTGAAACAAAAAGGCCACTTAAGCTTTCCAGTAGAATAAAGTTCTGGCATGAAGTCATTCAATGAGACTTCCTCCTACAAAAAAGTCAAAGCTTCCTCAAAGTCATTTGTAGAATATAGAAATAAAATGTATAACCTAGAAACATTCTACCAAAAAATCACCCAAGAATCAATTACAGTAAGTTGAGTCACAATGTCCCAAGAAATCAATTCTCCTGTCATCATTTTACCTACTGACATTTTCTTGGATCTTGTCCTTCAGTGCAGTTACGGGACAGAGGGGAAAGCATCAATTAAGTGTTGCAAATACGCAGCCAGTTCCAGCCACTAAGAAATGGCTCCCAAGTTAAGCCCTTTAAAAGTCTTGTAACAACTGGGCTAAGTATGATCTTAAAAAGAACAATCTCTCAGACCTCAAAAACAAGGATATTACACTTACACCTGGAAGGTGAGGTCAACGTGACACACAGTGATGCCTGCACCCATGTCAGAGCATGGACATGACCTTCAGGGTTCATTCTCAACGTAATATGGAAGGAACAAGGCGCAGCACTCCCAGGAAAGTTAACAGGAGTTAGACAGCAAAGGCCCTTCATACCACTGAATTGTTAAATATCTTATGTATTGTGTGTGAAGAAAATCTCAATTTTGTATTGAGAAAGCAAATACTGACATAGTAACAAGTTTTAACACAACAGATGTATTTACTTACAGCATGCAAAGTTTGGTTTTATGTATTTGAGCAGCTAACAGCCACTAAACAGCCCTTAAGTATTTACAAGTTCAAAATTACAATCTTCACATAAGTAGCAATTGCTTACAAAAAGTTCAGGACGCTCCCTGGGAAATAAGCAAGAAAAGAAAATACTGAAAGCAGTAATAAAAAGTAGTAACAAAGGAAAACATAATAGCTTTTAAAATCCAGACAATTTAACACTGTTCTGGTAAAAAAAAAAGCCACATATCACATTTAGAGATGCCACTTTAAAAGAAATGTACCTTTCTGGGTTTTTTCAGGAGAAAAGCTGTACATAAGCTTAAAAAAAATTTCCACATAAATAAACAAAACACAACTTCCTTTGGTTTGCCAATTTACCTTAAAATAGCTTCTCCACCTCCTGCTTTTCCTCTCCCCTCCCACCCAATTTGCAAGGTAAGAGGTAAGGCAAATGTGACCAGAGACTGAAGAGCTTCATAGGTGATCACACAGGAAAAAGACACTTCAACGCCAGTTCATGGTATGGAAAGCAAAAGTAGTAGCTTTTTCATAAACATGAAGCTTTTTTCAAAATAACAGATTCTAAAACTTGCCCAAGATGCAATGCACATGTTAGTTCTGATGCAGGGCCAGGTCAGAATAAAATCATGCTCCTATGTTTAAGGCAGTCTAAGACTAATTCAGGTCTCTTCAGCCTCTTGGAAAACAGAATTTTTTGCCAAATTACAGTCTACATGACTATTAGCTTCAGGGTTTACAGTAATCAAATAAAACAAATTTAACTTTTACTTTTTTGTAATAAATGTGTATTTATATCTGCTTCTACAAAGTAGTCCTATACCCCTCTTTAGGGCTATACAACCTGGAACCGAGGAAGTTCACTAGCAGTGACGTACAAATGTGTTGTTGCACCACTTCATGAAAGGTTAAGTGTAGTGTCCTTCTGAGAAGACATTTAACTACCTTTTAAAGCTATGTTAAATTTATTTATAAATAATTGGGTACCAGCTGATGCTCATACTAGAAACGTTCCTCACCTTCAACTCTAGGAATAGCTTAGGGCGAAGAAAGTCCTCCATGTTTACCTGCTGTTTTGTTATGTCTGGTTTGAGGGAACCTTAGCTTGTTATTAAACAAAAATATACTAAAATACAAATATTTAAGTTGGATTTTAAAATTTTTGCATTTCTGTGATTATTTGTTCTATAACAGTATTCATATTGCATGATATTTTGTGCTAAACTGCCCTCTTCAGCCAAGCCCACCATAAAACATTAAAACAGAACAGTAAAACCTTTTTCATGTAAACTTCAGTAAAGCAGTTGCAGTCATAGAGACAGGGTTGTAAAGGTGCTGTATAAACATTCTGATATACACTTCCTCTATACTAGATTATGTGGTACATGGAACATGACATTTTGAAGTTACCCAATGTAATGTATAAAAATATAAAATATATATGTATGAGTAACAGTAGAATAAACTACAGTGCAATTTTCCATAGCCTGCTGAAAGCCCTACCTGCGTATCATCTTCCACAGTAGATTTTATCTTCCATTAACAGTAAAACAGAGCAAGTACAGCTAGAAAAGACAGCTTTAAAGAACACTCTTATGTTGTAAACTTGAAGTTCCTAGAAGTCAAATACGTATCTTAAGAAGAGTTTTGCTCACTTGTCTCTTCAGGGCTAGAATTCAAATTTTTTTTGCTATAAACTGTAAAGCCAAAATATTTCAGGAGAATATGCCTTAAATTTCAGAGAAAGATATTCTATTATTTTCACCAGTCCTCAGACTAATTTAACATAATTGGAACTATACCACTTGCTCATGGTCTTTAAGCATAAGGCATTTTGTGTACATTACCCCCCAGGCATTTATTTAATAACTGTTTTAGTGTGCAGAGCCAAAACAGTGGAAATCCCTCCCTTAAAACCTTGGAAACCAAAGTTACCTCTTACTGCACATTCAGCATTAAACTGCCACAGAGGAACAGATTGAAAAATCAAATCCAGAAATATGCACTGCAATGAGCTAACCATCTTCTACTAGGTAAGGTCTTCTCAGCTATGGAACTTGTTTAACTCACTATCAGTTCTGAATCCTTCAGTTTGAATACATTCATAGTGGTGCATCCTGAATGCACTGAAGAAATCATAGAATGGTTTGGGTTGGAAGGGATCTTAAAGCTCATCCAGTTCCAACCCCCCTGCCAACAGCAGGGACACCTTCCACTAGACCAGGTTGCTCAAAGCCTCATCCAACCTGGACTTCAACACTTCCAGGGAGGAGCAGCCACAGCTTCTTTGGGCCACCTGTTCCAGTGTCTGACCACCCTCACAGTGAAGAACTTCTTCCTAATATCTAATCTAAACCTCCCCTCTCTCAGTTTAGAGCCATTTCCCCCTGTTCTATCATTAACTGCCCTTATAAAATGTCCCTCCCCAGTAAATGCATCAGTAAAGTTAGCTTTTCACATCACCTAATGCCAGCGTACCATAACTTTGACTGCTTTAAGAGACACAAAGTTAATTTTGTTAATTCAACAGGTTAACAGTTTGGAGAGAAGAGCTCCAATACAGAAAACCCCCTTCCAATTCCAAATACTGTTTACAAAAAATGTAAGCTTTGTATTCTCTCTCATCACTATACTTCCCAACCAAATTATGTTTTTCCCAAAAAAAGTACAATACAAAAATAAGTAGTTCATGTCTGGCCAGACAATAAGACAGCTCTTGCTGCAATATGACAGTTCCTGACATGGAAAGAACAGATTAGGCAACACAAACATAGACCAAATGAAACACAAGAGAGGCACATGAAATTAAAGTTGAAGGGTCATATTCTACTCATCACTGGAAAAAGGACCATGAAAGGACCATACTGAGAAGTGCACACTAATTCAGTAAAAATTAGATAAGCACAAACCATTTCTGCATTGACCATACTGTCTTGACTGCTCACGATCTGCCTAGCAGAATGATTAAAAATTTAATTTGATCATTCTATTGTCTTATAGCTATCTAAATTGGTTAAAAGTGATTATCACCTTTAAACATAGTATGTTAATGCATAAAAATACATATATTTTTTTCTAGAATAAAGATTATATTTTCTAAGCAAATATCTAAAAACAATGGTCCTTCTAAATTAGTTTTGAATAAAAGTGAGGCCCATTTCTTTGCATAATGGGGTGTTTTTATTGTTTAAATGTTTAGATAATTAATTCTGAATATTTGTCCACTGTATAAACAATCTCCAGAAAAATATATCCTCTTCGAGTAACTTACAATACACATTAAAAATACTTACAAAAGGGATTACTGTCCATTTACAACACCTTGAGCTCAAGGACACGACTCCTGGGTCATTACACTTATGCAATTTTGATCATGCTAAACTGAATATTCCAGTTAACTTGAACCATGCCATCAACGTGGACAATCTAACACGTAAAAATATCTGCCTAATTATGTAGGATTTTAAATAAAACTAGGCATTTTTACATCACAGTATATATGGCATTTCTTAATTTAGCAACAGAAAGGCACAGTTATTAAACCATAAGATATAGTACCTGAATCATATATACTTTAGTGATATCTACCAATGCCAATCCAGACATTTTACTCTGTAGAGGGGGATAAAGAAAAAGGTTTCTGTTCATTTTTTTATTTTTTTAATTTTATTTTTTTTTTTAGAAAAATTCAACCTCATTGCAAGTTTGGTCCATTAGAAACGTCTATTAGCTGAAACATCTTGAGTAGGAATAGGAAAGAAGAGAGGAAAGCAAGTTTAGCAGTCTATGGTCCAACAACTTGAATAAATTACTATGAAATGGCAAACAGGTAATGAATGGAGCTTTGCAATTAGCTGACATACCTGTTAAAATGTCAATGTGTAGAGGTACAGTATGACAGACATTCCGGATACATTCACACACACAGACTTTGTGACAGCAATAACTCTAGACAGAGCATTTACAGAGTTTGGCACTCCTCACAGGACTGGTATGTGACTTCTGGCCCCACACCATACCCAAAGATGTGCAAAGCTCTTTAAATGCTTTACCCGTTAGGTATTGCTGGTCAAGTGAAGACCCAAGCTCACTGGCCTTCCCTTAGCAAACTAGTGCACCTCTTCAAAAAGCAACTAGCTCTGTTCTCCCTATTTAAAGTGATAAAATTGCATCAAGAAAGACCAATAAAATGGAAGAGGCAAGGAACAATAAACATGAGTGAGAACCCAACCATTCCATACGTAATATAGCGATAGGGAAGCTCAACTTCCATGCGCTGCCTCGCTTTCCGGACATCGTCACGCGGGATGCAAAATATCTTACATGCCAGTGGAATAGTGGCTTTTTTCATCGCTATTTTGGTTAATAACAGAACTATGACTCCGATCAACAACCGTAATATGGCTTTTCCAAACACAGTCACAGTGAGAGAGGAAAGAGATAAAGGTAAGGTATCAGGTGGAGGATCTAGCTTTACATCCATTATGTAGTTAATGTGAGAGCCACAGGCTACTCCAGCACCACAGCCCAGTATCTGAGCTGTGTCTCCTCTCGATGTGCTCCAGGTGTCGAGAGTAAAAGAGAAGATGCCCAAGGCTAAGTGGAGACTGATGATAATTAAGGGTGCATATTTGTAAGTTAAGTTGAAGTTATCAATCAGGTCCACAACTGGATGGAAGACCACTAAGATGAGAATAGCATACAGAAATCCAGCAATGACATCCTGTGGAAGAGAGAGAGAGACATGGTTTCAGTGTAGTAACTATTTCAGAAAATAATTTCAGCTGCACTAGCATGGAGACAAGCCCAGTTGCTCTGTTGCTAAAAGTGACTTGTGGGTTCCCATCTTCTCTCATTTACTGTATAAGGTTAAGCCTTTTTTATGATAGAATCACAGAATGTTGGGGATTGGAAGGGACCTCGAAAGATCATCCAGTCCAATCCCTCTGCCGGAGCAGGAACCTAAATGAGATCACACAGGAAGGCGTCCAAGCGGGTCTTGAATGTCTCCAGAGAAGGAGACTCCACAACCTCCCTGGGCAGCCTGTCCCAGGGCTCTGTCACCCTCACTGTAAAGAAGTTTCTTCTCAAGTTTAAGCAGAACCTCCTGTGTTCCAGCTCACACCCATTGCCCCTTGTCCTACCATTGGGCATCACTGAGAAGAGCCTGGCTCCATCCTCATGACATTCGCTCTTAACATATTTATAAACATTAATGAGGTCTCCCCTCAGTCTCCTCTTCTCCAAGCTAAAGAGACCCAGCTCCCTTTTCATAAGGACAACTGATGACAAAACAAGGGGAAATGGGTTTAAACTGAAAGAGGGGAGGTTTAGATTAGATATTAGGAAGAAGTTCTTCACTGTGAGGGTGGTCAGACACTGGAACAGGTTGCCCAAGGAAATTGTGGATGCCCCCTCCCTGGAAGTGTTTAAGGCCAGGCTGGATGAGGCTTTGAGCAACCTGGTCTAGTGGAAGGTGTCCCTGCTGATGGCAGGGGGGTTGGAACTGGATGAGCTTTAAGGTCCCTTCCAATCCAAAAATCCAAACCTTTCTATGATTCTATGATTTCCTCCACTATGTTAAAGATAAGGTAAGGAACTTCATTTGATCACCTATTAACAGGTCATCTGCAACATGATCAGATGATAAATGATCATGAATGAAGCTATGATCAAATGATCCATGATCAAAGTTGTAGATCTACCTATCTGCTGGCAACAGTGGTCCTTGTGCAGGGCTGGGTATTTCATCCTACAGTCAGCACAAAGCTAGGCCAGATAAATAAGTTCTGCCAGCTTAGTTTGCCAAAACAGCCCAACACTGGATCGAAGTGCCTGGGTGCCAACACACAGGTACAGTGGCAGCATCAGCTGGTGAGGCAGTCGAGGACCACTGCTCAGCATTAGAACAGCTCAGACTTTCCACTCTAGCTTCAGAATTAACAATACTGCAAGAATGGAGAACTGCTTGCAAGTATTAAAGGAGAAGAAGAAATAACTTCTGTTGCTTCATACTTGATTTTAAGTTTTATTATTGTTTTAAAAATGTTTTAATTAAAAGGTTACTCTATTTTTTAATTTAGCATTAAACTTCAGTTACTGTTAATTAATCTCTCGGTTGCACAGAATTATCTGCAGCTTCTGTCACCTTTAGTTGTTAAGAAGGAATATGCTGAAAGCTTTTTAGAAATCCAAGCGCTAGAAACTAGATCACTTTCATCCACACCCTTATCAACCTTTCCATATGAGCTGGGAGGTGGGACTTCCATCAGCAGTATCTGTATTGCTCCATCTTCAATGAATCATTTTATTCATTTCCACTAATTGAATGCTTGATAAAAGCTCTAATACAATTGACTGATAGGAAAGTCAGACTTGCTTATTTCAGAATCAATTACAACAGCTTTTCTGCCATATTTGCCACCCTCTCCCCACCCTCCCCCAAACTTAGGTACCAGGGTTGATTTACATTACAGGTAACACATGGTTAATTATAGCACTCCAGCACTATAGAGGATTCAGATATGAAGCTGGAGAATAACCTGGTCTGTGTGAGGCATTGCTCTTTGTTGCATGACTTTGTTCTAAGACATTACCTGTCAGCTGACATCATCAGCTGAAATATCAGTTCATCCCATCCTCCTCCACACAAGTGGTTCTGACTTGGGAAGCCTCCTAATCACTAATGCAAATATCATTCAGTTTTTCTGAGCTGCCTTATTGTCACATGCTCCTTTCACACTGTGTTCATCTACCAGCTTTACTACTCACTACCAGGCTTACTGGTTTCTCTCTGGTAGTTTTTCTCCTTCTAGCAAGTGATCCTCAAAAACCTTTTTAGGCATTCTTATTAGGAGATTATTACATTCTGATTACTACTTTGTAGTGTTCTTGTCTTCCCATTTTCACACTGAATGCATTTGTGTTTCAATTTGATTTTTTAATACTTTTTAATAAATAAGTGTGTTTATGAAAGTTGACAATTTTGTTATCTGATTCTTTAGAAAACCCCAAACTATATACAATTATTGCACTGTAAAAATTTAACTGTGATGGAAGTTTAAAAATCAAAACTACGTTAAAACAAAAATTAATCTTACCAAAATTGAATGCATTCCCATATAAATTCGACTACAGCAAACCAAAGAACACCAGCAGAATGCAAGGATCAGTCCAAACATAAGGGGATACTGGTAGGAAAAAAAGGGAGACATTGTATTAGAATTTGGAAAAAAAAAATAAATCACTAAGAATTCTATAATTAATTCCAATTAATGCAACTTATGGCACTCGGGTTACATGAATTTCAGGACATTGGTCATATCTTTTCAGACAAAGCAGTAGGAAGTTAATAGAGCTTTGTAGCAGTCAGTCTTGCCACGTTACAATACCCTAAATTGGCAATACAGGCAGAGACAAGCCTTGTGTTCCAAACTGTGGCACAGTCTCACCCTGGGTGAAGCAGCTACATGACACACCAGTACTGTTAACAATTACCCAGGCCAAATCTAGTGGATTCACCTTTCTCCTGAAAAGGAAGAACTTGTAATAATTTATAAATAAATTCAATTCCTTACACGCTGTTCTAGTTTCTTCAATCTTTAACTCAATCTCTGACCATCAGTATCAAACTCCTAGAATAGTAATCTGTTTTGTTTTCTACAAACCCATATGAATTTCCTCTGACAATGCACGTTTATTAAAAAACCCCATCAAATAATTATTTCCAATCATTTCCATCTTCTGGTAAAAGATTTTTTATGAATAAGGACTGATTCCAGGAACAAACAAAATACTTTGCTTTAATAAGCACATATCACCATGTGTAGAAACTTAGTATTTTAACTTTTTAGGTTTTGGATAAAAGTATGTTAATTCACATCTTACAGCACAGTAAGAAATACTTTCCCCACTATCATATTGCAAAATGTTGTACAAGACAGGATGTAGCTGCCTTTTTTCAGTATTAAAAATAAGCATTAGTTCTACAAAAGAAGCAGTCACAAGACAAATGGCATGTTTCCAGGATGGCTTCACTTCCTACATGAAAGCAATGATTTTCATATCAACAGGCAGTCTAGATGGACTTGAATCTCAGAATAAAAATTAAGAATTACAGGCAGTTTTCTTGCCCTTTCCCTTGCTCCTTCCATGGGTAACCTGCAGGGTAGAATATCCAAGAAATTAGAGAAAGTATCTTCAATCTTAGTGGAGAGTCATATGTCCTCTGTGAAGGCCACTTAACAGATTGGAAAGCTTCTAAATCAGTCTTTGAAGGAAAGGTTTGAGTAAAGATTATCAGTCTTCTGCATTATTCCAGCACTCAGAATTCTCAGCTCCAGGAGCACATTAGCATGACAAACCTAAAAGAATTCTCAAGCTAACAGAGAATTGGGAAGCTTACTTTTCACATAAGAAACAGATTACACATCAAAACCAATTCTAAATGCCCAGCTCAGTTGTGTTACATCCAATTTAAACTCTAATTCCTGTAGCAACATTTGTCTTTGTTTCTCCTACATTCACCTACAAATTGTACCTAAACAAAATGATGTACTTAATGATTCATTTCTAATCAAAATGATGAAGGAACAAATTCAGTTTCCGGCCTTTCAGAATTATGCTAATAATGGGCAATACAGCAGAAACTCGGTCACATTCAAGTCATGACTGCAGAGTGATCAGATGCTGACATCATTACAGCAGCAATCCTTGCACCCTGCACTGCACCACCAGAACACAGTACATGTGTAGCCCCATCACCCATCCCCAGGATGCCTCTACCATAATTCACAGAATCACAGAATGTTGGAGATTGGAAGGGAGCTCAAAAGATCATCCAGTCCAATCCCCCTGCCAGAGCAGGAACCTAAATGAGATCACACAGGAAGGTGTCCAGGCGGGTCTTGAATGTCTCCAGAGAAGGAGACTCCACACCCTCCCTGGGCAGCCTGTCCCAGTGCTCTGTCACCCTCACTGGAAAGAAGTTTCTTCTCAAGTTTAAGCAGAACCTCCTGTGTTCCAGCTCACACCCATTGCCCCTTGTCCTACCATTGGGCATCACTGAGAAGAGCCTGGCTCCATCCTCATGACATTAGCGCTTTACATATTTCTAAACATTAATGAGGTCACCCCTCAGTCTCCTCTTTTCCAAGCTAAAGAGCCCCAGCTCCCTCAGCCTTTCCTCATAAGGGAGATGCTCCACTCCCTTCATCATCTTGGTGGCTCTGTGCTGGACTCTCTCCAGCAGTTCCCTGTCCTCCTTGAACTGTGGGGCCCAGAACTGGACACAATATTCCCACTGATCTCAGGGCAGACCTAACACTGCCTGCACCAGGAAGACACTCCAGGCACACAACCTCCCTGCCTGGTGCTGCTCCACTCCCCCCCAGAGGACTGCCAAGGCAGAAGTGCTGTGGATACAGGGACAGGTATATCATACCCTAGGTCCTCTGAAGCAAAGAGGAGCTTCTAGCACCTCTTAACACACTCTGCAAGATGAAAGCTTGGGAAGGCGACTTCTTGTTTGTCAGAGATGAGCAAGGGAAGATTTACTACCTCCAGAAGCAATGCAAACCTCCTGACCAGAAACCTTAACAGCATCACAATTACTTGGTGGTAGAATGAGCTTGCGTGTGTTCACATGTGTCAAAAGTTCCAGACAGTTCTGCCCATCACTTGATGGGTGTTTGATTCTTGTTTCCTGGCACACAGCTCTCGTGTTTCCAGGCTCCAATCATGGGTAGGGGTTTTCTTTAATAAAGCCTGTTTCTGAAATACCTGATAGAAACAGAAGCTGGAGCTCTAGCAGGAAGTGCCAGGCTCAGCAGGCTATAGCAGCTAATGATACTGAGGATAAGAAGTTGGGATTGGGGAGAAGAGGAGGTTACAGCAGCTCAACAGCAAAACAAAGAACAAGAAATATGAAGGAAAAAGTGTACATAAGGAGTCTTGTTTTCAGGGTCCTGGGTAGGTCACTGTAAACAGCAGGTAGAGTAGGATAAATTCTGAAGATGAAAAGAAATGCTTGCTCTCAATGAGGAACTCTCAAGGGAGGGGTGTCTGAGTTTGGGAAAGAAGGAAACTGACAGAAACTCAAACTTTGAAGGAAAATTTGGCTCTGTCATATCTCACTCTAATTCTGTTTTTAATGCTATTGAGCATAAACAGCCATTAAAACACCTGGAAACACTGGCTAGTTTAGTTACCCTGTAGCAAAGCATCTGTATCCAAGAGCTCAAACACTTCCCTATTGTGTCCCCAATAAAAAGCCAATTATACACTTAACCCCGATTCATATATTCTTAAAGTAACAAAGAATTTTTAACTTAAACCTAGACTAATTATTCTTACTGAAATAGCTTTAGCATGACCTGTCCACAAATGTGCGTGCAGTATTAGGCCCATGCTGATTTATGGTGCTTTTAATGCATGATGATGATAATAATAATAATAATAATAATAACCACAGAAGTCCTAAACACAGTTTCTGTCCACTCAAGAGAGCTTCTTCACTACCGTACACCTTGCTGTACTGTGTTCAGTCCGCTGTAAAAAAGCAGAAGAATGAAACAATTATTCTAACTTCCTCTGGAATCATATTCCACAATACAGTAGTTGAGTTGATTTTTGTCACTAGTTCCCACCCAGGGTGTTCTCCTCTAAGCTTACACTGCATTAACCAGCACACTCAGACAACTGTTGGTTTATGTTTGAAACTTACTTATCAGTCAGTAAAACAACCCTCAGTTTAGATAAAGACATCTTTATACATAAAGTACAGAAATAAAATTTGATCTAAAGAAGGTTTTAATCATCCTCTGCCCTAGTTTCTCCCAAAGTTATGGCCATACCCCCCTGCACTGCCCACATAACTGATCTGATTTTCTTCCCACGAGCCTCGTACCCACCTGCAGAGCATCATAAAGCTGCATGAACCCTTTGGGGCTCCAGAGTTCACTGGCCTCCTTGGACACTAGCAGAAATCAAGCAGAACCTCCCTACTTCAACACAAATAAAGAACAGTACACTGCCTCCTCCCTGGCCCTTTTTCACTCATACCTTTTAAAAGCAGCCACTGGGTCCCAAAATTCCTAGAACACTGAACTGGGAGCACCTGCTTAAGGTCTGCCTTGAGGTGATACCGTGTGTTTTGTCCTCACACGTAGGGATAAGTGTACAAGGTGAGTAAAGGACACCAGTGCTCCCACACACCTTTTAGTTCAGCAAGAAGACTGGTCAGCAGCGTGCCAAATCAACACCAACAGGGGACGTCACCTTGATCCTTATAAAAAAGAAAAACTGATGCCACAAATTTATTTCCAAATTATTGTCTGAAAAGAATGCAATACTGAGGTACCAGCAAGCACTTCCTAAATGTTGTTTAATCTAGAAAATGACTGCACTTTGCATATATACATTGGGCATACCATGGCTGTATATCTGTAACCTCCCACTGCACAGGCATATAAACCCCCCCCCCCCAAATACCAATCTTCTATTAGTATGGCACCTTAAGATTCTTAATATTTGTTATCAGCCTTGCTTTACAATAAACTTTTCACAAAGCTTCTCCTCCGTTCACAAACAAATCTTAAAAACCCAAAATACCCTCAGCTCTTACTATGTTTTCTGCTTAAAACAGGCAAATTTTATGAAAGATTAGTGTGAAAAGTTTAATATAAACTTAATATAAACTAATCTCACTGAAGAAAGCCATATGCACTTATTTATGTTTGCTGGGGTCTTTTATTTTGGAAAATACTACTTCACAAATTTTAAAATTAACAGTTATCAACCACCTTCCGAGTTATAAACCTTTAGATCTTTTCCTACATGGTTGTATATAGACATACTGACAGCCTCTACTTAAATTAAAGATATTAAAGCAAGAGTGATGAATTCCAGGAATTTTAGTCCCATGGTTCCTTGCACACCAAATCAGACCTGCAGAGGACAAAAGATCACAAGCTCACTTTTACCCTCTTCCCCAGTTCACTGCTATCCTTACTCATCTAGGCATCAGAAGGCAGACTGGCATCATATCTCCTTTCAGATGAGGGTCTGAAAGGTTGTCACAGATCACAGCTGGCAGAGGTAGACATAAAAAACAGGTTTCATACTCTTAGCTTGCTTTTTCTGCTAACAGAATTGATATATCTTAATTCTTGAGCATACTCAGTCACTTATA